GTTTTTATTTTAAGAATGTTCATAAATATAGCCTAATGAGATATATATAGGCCACTTCTCTTCTCCAGAATCCTTTATTTCTGCAGATGTATATAATAAGCAGGAAAAATATTGCATAGTATGAATTCTGACACTGGCATTTCTGTCCCTACCTACAAGAATTTCCTCCTATTGGTTGTTTGAAATTAGGCAAGTTATTGAACTGTCTATTGAACTGTTACCTCATCTATTGAAAAGACAAATATCTTTATCACAGGAGGGGTGCAAAGATTAGTTGAAGTTATGTTGTAACCTACCTAAATTAGTACCTAATGCTTCTCTTGGAAGGAAGGCTGGTTCACTTCTTTTACTTTCTTCATTCTTATTTACCAGCAGGAGTCCAAAGTGGGACTTCCAACAAGACAAAAATTAAAAATATTAAAAAAAAGGAGTCCTTCTTTGCTTCCCTCTCTTCCAAACTTCCCACTGTTTTTGGTACATCCCTGTATCAACTTTCCCCATGCATCTTCAGTGATGAACAACACAAGCAAAGAAATGCATGTCTCACCTAATCAAAGAAAAAAATGTGGGGAGGAGCCCCTTTGTTACTTCTGCTTTCCCAAAAGCTATTATCCTTTACTCAGCCAATGAATGTAGCCAATGTCTTAGTCCATTTTGCATTGCTACAAGGAATACCTGAAACTGGGTAATTTATGAAGATGAAAGGGTTATTTGGCCCATGATTCTGCTGGCTGAAAGACTGGGCACCTGTTGAAAGTTCAGGCTGCTTCCACCCATGGCAGAAGGTGAAGGGGAGTTTCCAAATGCAGAGATCACATGGCAAGGAGGAAGCAAGAGAACACATGGAGGCACCAGGCTCTTTTTAACAACCAGGTCTGCTGGGAAGTAATAAAGGGAGAACTCTCCCACAGCCCCCACCAAGGAAGGGCATCAATCTATTCATGAGGGGTCCACTCCTATGATCCAAATACCTTCCATTAGATCCCATCTCCAACACTGGGAATCAAATTTCAACATGGGGTTTAGAGGGGACAAACATCAAAACTGTAGCAGCCAACATCCGCACTTAGATGTTCATAAATGCTACCAACTGATATCTCACACCGCTCTTCTCCTGACTCCACTTTTTACATATCCCTAATTAAAGCTCAGTCTTTAAGTCTACATTTAACAAATATAGTCCAAATATATTTTAATTGAAGAACCATCCAATAGTAATAGAATGCAACCTACTGATATGATTTTAAATTTTCTAGTAGCCACATTTTAAAAGTAAAAAGAAATTAAAAAGCAAAAAGCCACACAAAAAGGGTGAAAACCAATAATATTTTTAAATTAACCCAACATATACAAAATGTTATTTCAATAGGTAATCAATAGTAACATTTTTTTTTTTTTATTGAGACAGGGTCTCACTCCTATTGCCCAGGCTGGAGTGCAGTGGCATGATCTTGGCTCACTGCAGCCTCAACTTTGCAGGTTCAGGTGATCTTCCTTCCTTAGCCTCTCTGAGTAGCTGTGACTACAGGTGTGTGCCACCACACCAAGCTAATTTTTTTGTATTTTTTTAGTAGACTGGGTTTTGCCATGTTGCCCAGGCTGGTCTCAAACTCTTGTGCTCAAGTGGTCCGCCTGCCTCAGCTTCCCAAACTGCTCGGTTTACAGGCATGAACCACCATACTCATACTCATACTGTTATTCTTAATGAGATATTTTCATTATACTTTATGCTAAGTCTGTGAAATCTGCTGTGTGCTTTATACATGGAGCATGTCTCAATTAGGACTAGTCACTTTCCAAGTACTAGATAGCTATGTTGATTAGTGGCTACTGTATTGGACAGTGCAGGTTTTCCTGCCACCCCACTTTAACTTTGAAGGAAGCTCTTTGTTTTCACTGGACATTCCTGATTGCTTCCTCTCTGCATCTTTGCTGACTTTCCTTTTTCTCCATCTCTTGTCATTCTGTGATAGATGCCACCCCATCACTGCACACACCACTACAAAGATCTGCCTCACTCCTCTGCTGAGTTCTATCTCCTCTGGGCATCAAGTACCTAGAATGCCCTATCAAATTAATGGGATGACCATGAACACATTGCTCAGATGAAACTGAAAGATAGAAACTGGGAAGAAAGGAAAAATATTCTAATTTACCCCTTTAATCCATCATTGCTCAGAACCAATTTCCAGTGCACACTTTGAATACTTTCTGTTTTGCTTCCATTGCACATCTCCTCAGCTTATGGCTCATGTTTTCATAGTTTTGCAGGGACCATGTTCTACATAAATGTCCTGGTGCATCATTTACTGTACTTATCACTCAGGCTTCTGGACAGCAGCTGACATAATTTAAAACCTTATAAAAAGTGCACTTAGAATATCTATGCAGCTGTCTGAAGTAGCTACTCGCCAGGCACAATGACTGATTTACTGGGTGGCAGAATATTATGATTGACATGCTCCTGGTTATTTAGGGTGTCCTATCTTGTGATCAGAAGGACTCTGAGAGCCTATTTTGTGTGCATCCCACAGCATACATGGTAAATCTGATCTAAGAGTCTGCTCCTGTGTGTGAATACCTCATAATGAGATGTAACACCCTCATGATGATCGACTGACTTCTGAGTGTTATGCTAACTTGTTTTTATGTTTCTTTCCAGGGTGCATCTGGTAGTAACAATTTGTAGATCTAGAGAGTCAGCATGATTTAACAGGCAGGAATGTGAACAAGACATGCTGAACATTATCGTAGTTCTTTACATTCTCTTAAAGAGAATAGTATTGTCTCACAGGAATAGTATCTTTTGGGAGTTGAAATAGTATGTGCCAAATCCAGAAGATGAGGTCAGTAGATACGGTTTAAAAATCAAAACAACTCACTCTTTCCCAGCTTTCATCACTGCTGGCATGTGTTAGATGACAAGTCTTTGACTCACAAAGTTTAATAAGATTATCTGAGGGTTCAGGCTTCTCACCTGTTTTTAGAGATTAGAGAACACCTGTTTGTACCCATTTTTCATCCACTCTGATTCTATATTAACTGTCCCTATTAAAGCATTCTTGAGATGTCAAGTCCCTCCCACTTTAGCTAAGAATAAATAAAACTCACTTTCATTTAATAAAATAAACGATCTCTGGAAGTTAGTTGTATCGTGATCCACTTTACTTTGAGGAAACCCTTAAATCATTGATCTAGTTGTGTTTTTATAGGGGCTTACTGCATTTTTGGGAGAAAATTATTTTGTTTTACACAATAAAATAATAAATTTTATAGCTGTTGATAAAATACTCTGTGTGTGTTTTCATAGGCACATTGTACATATCATCTAGCTCTAATTGGATACCAGAAAAACAGACTGTCTTCAAATAATTGTAAATACATAAGCACAATACTTGTATATCTTGGGGACTAACTAGATAATGTGTGTATTGTGCATAGATTACCAAATATTCAGAAGAAAATGAGATATATGTCACATGAAAACTGCTACAAGGTCACCAGTATTCTTTTCTTTGCACTAATGATGGACTAAAATGGTGGTTAACAACGACATTTCCAATTAGCAGAAAGCTAGAGAAATGCTTCCATCCTGTATTTTAACTGCCTATTCCATGCTGAGAAATACTAAGAGTTGGTGTAGACCTTTTGATCACATAGTCAACTTTGCAATATCAGCCCTATAAATGGTGTGTCCTATTCTAGGTAAGCCGTTAACTCTGACGTGTGTGTGTGTGTGTGTGTGTGTGTGTGTGTGTGATGTGCGTTTATTGTGTGGAACTTCCAAACTAATCTAGAGTTCTCCTTGGCCACCTGTTTCACACATTTCTCCATGTTACAGGATTTCAGAGAAATCCTGAGACTGCAACAGGCAAGACAACCTAGGCTGGGGAAAGACATAGTATCAGACTTGGGATTTATATGCCCATTGTTTTGAATGGGCTGCCAGTGTTCATTTTTCAGATTTGAAGTCATTTCCCCTGATGGCAGGGCTGTAAGATTTGAAATGACTCAAGCATGGCAGCAGGGCACAATGGAAAGAGCATGGACTTTGAAATCCTGCAGACTGGAGGACAAACTCTGCTACTTACTATGTGGCTGTGGATAAGCTGCTTAACCTCTTCAAAACTCAGTCACTGCATCTCTAAAATGATGATATCATGACTGTTATAAAGTTGTTGAGAGAAGTAGAGATGATGCCCAAAAAGCAACTAGCAAACTGTGTAGCTGGTAGTAGTCTCTTAAGAATCAGTCATTATGATATGATCATAAGGATAATGCTATACAGGATTCGAGAGTAAAAAATCTAAGTCTCCTTTAATTGGGATAAGGAATCTGTATCCAGGGCCCCCATGACAAGTGTTGGCATCATTTAAAAAGGTACGGATTATTTCAAGTCCTTTGCTCTTTGTGGTTTCAGCACTGTATATGGCATGTATGATAAATCAAGTCAATGTAAATGTGAGTCATGCCCTTACCACTTATAATGTCAATGGATTTTAATAACCTCTCTATTTTCTGGATATAGATTTCCAGCACTTGTAGCAAACTAAATATTTCTGCATAGTCTATTTTATGGCAGAAAATATAATTCTACCTATACTGTTTAATATTTTCGTATGGGTTTATATAACTATACTTAGATTCATATTCATTTCCAGGAAAGAAGATATATTTTAAACGAATTCATGATTTTTGGACTGCTTGGGAATGTATTTTGATTCTTTGTTAGGAGATTTTGATCTTATTCATGCCATGTAATCTACTGAGCTGATTAGTCATTTTCATACTTTTCTGGGATTTTTTTTCTTTTATGCATGTAGAGGTTAAATGAAGAAAAAATTCTAAACTTGTTCATATTATTTTAATACATGAGATAGTTTATATAAAGAGAAATTAAAGTAGCTTAACCTTTGAAAGGTTGAGGGACTATTTCTGAATTTTTACTCACTTATTCTGATTATTTAAATTTTGATCTTTCTTTGTTGCTTTTTACCTAGGTTACTTGTTGGTTTCAGAAAACGATAAGAGATTTACAGGAACAAAGTCTAGGTTCATCACTTTCAGACAATGAGGATCTAATTCGTAAGCACGAGGAACTGATAATAAAAGCAAAGGTAAGAGATATATTAGACACTTTAAAAATAATTGAAAAATGCATTAACTTTTCTTGAATATGCTTCTGTGGGTAATTTAGAGGAGAACTGAGAAGTCTCTTTGATTAATCTACTATTCATGTAAAAAAAAAAAATCCCAATAACATTAGCAATACCGCTGTGCATTGACAGGGCTTCCAGAATAATGATAAACAAATTAACAGCTTCTACAACAATAACTATATTGTTCTGAATAGTTACTATATGCCAGGCACTATACTATGTATATGAAATCCATTGTCTAAATTATCATAAAACCCCTAAGGGAGAGGTATTATTTCCCCCATTTTATGCATCAAAACAAATAAAACACAGAGGCTTGGAAATGCAAAGTCGCTTGACCAATATAATATATCTTGTCAGTGGCAGATTTAAAATTCAGTTCTAGGTTTTGTCTAATACAGAGGCCCAAGCTCTTAAACATTATACTTTTTTAGCTTTCTAAAATTTTTTTCTACACTGAGATATCATTACTATGAGTCATCACTTTTATGACTTCCAGATATAATTTGATTGCTGTTCCCATTTACATGTCTTTTGCTCCTTAACTTGCTTCAGATTTCTCAGTTTTGCAACAAGTAATGGTTACCAGCCCGGCAGCCACTTGTAGGTATATAGAATGCATTAAAATGCAAGCATGAAGTGCCGAAAGCAAGATGAGTAAAGCACCTGTGTTGTGGTTGACCTTCTCTCCATTGTGTCTTGTTATTTGAAAATCAATGCATTTATACATCTGGGGGTCTATAAATACTTTCCAAAATTCTTTACAGAGGCTCCATATTGATCTGCAAGAAAACAGAAGTCCATCATAGTAGATGGAATGAGAACAGTGAATAATCACTATCAACGTTTAGAGAACTTTGTATTATTAATATTTTAGATGATTGATAGTTGTAGGTAGAGCTAAGTCATAAAGCTCTAGAAAACAATGGGCCAACACTACTAGACAATAGCTGAATACAGGCTAGACAAGTCAAATATTCACATATCTGGGAGGATAGGAGTCGGCAAGATGAGGACGGAGGCAGTAGATTGCATTTATTTAGACTTAAATCTTTTCATGGGGATCATGACACATTTGTTTCAGTTTCTTGCTTCTGTTTGAACACTCCAGTGTCTTCTAGGCATTCAAAGTGTTTGGTTTGAATATTTGACTGATTGATAAAAGGTGCACTTACAGAAGACTGACTAATAATGACTGATTATTTTTTAAGTTCTTAAAATTTTTCAGCATTTGGTTTATCTGTTTAGGACGTTAATTTTTTTCATTGAATTATATGGCAATTGATTCTGTTTGTATCACTCAAGTTTTATCAGTGAAAGTTTTATCGAAAGCCCCAAATGCTAAGCACAAGAGATTACCAGAATTGCATAGGATGCTGCTTCCTTTAATACAAAAAAAAAAGCAGTATATAGTGTACACATAATTTATACATCCCTTGGGGTTATATTCATGATAAATGTGGAGTTATGGTTTCCTCTAGCCTGAAGACAGTCTGGAGTAGAATATTTGTTAATGTTTGACCTTAGTAGGCCACAGTTTTTCTCATAGTTTATAGCTGTATTTCCACCTCTGATGTGCATAAACAAAAAAGCATATAGATATTATTTCCATCAATATTATTAAGTTGCAGGTATAAGGGATGTAAAAAATAATTTTTAAAAGACTATTTTTAGAGCAGTTTTAAGTTCACAGCAAAATTAAGGGGAAGGTGTAGAATTTCCCATATACACCCTGCCCCCACACATTCATAGTCTCCCCCATTATCAACATCCTCACCAGAGTGGTGCATTTAATGGACCTACATTGACACATCATTATTACCCAAAGTTCATAGCTTATATTAGGGTTCACTCTTGGTTTTGTACAGTCCATGGGTTTGGACAAATGTGTGATGACATGTATTGAATGATTGAACATCATTGAATTATACAGATTATTCTTGCTACCCTAAAACTCCTCTGTGCTCTGCCTGTTCATTCTTTTCCACACCCGCAACTCCTGACAACCACTGATCTTTTTACTCTCTTCATAGTTTTGCCTTTTCCAGAATGTCATGTAGTTAGAATTGTACAGTATGTAGGCTTTCAGATTGACGTTTTTCACTTAGTAATATGTATTTAAGTTTCCTTTATATCTTTTCATGACTTGATAGTTCATTCCTGTTTAGAAATAAATAATATTCTAGATAAGCCTCATGACATAGGGAGACTCCATCTCTACAAAATATTTAGCCAGGTGTGGTGGTGCATGCCTGTGGTCCCAGCTACTCAGGAGGCTGAGGTGGGGGGATTGTTTGAGCCTGGGAGGTTCCATACAAGTATATCCACTTCCTTTAGGGTCCTGAACTACTCTGCATCTTGGGCAGAAGCTGAGTACTGCCCCATGTACTCAAGTAGTTTTCAAGGCAAACTGTTTTTGAAAAGTGAGGCAGAGAAACCTATTTCTCTACAGCATTCCTGAGAACAAATTTATTTTCCTTTTTATTTATTTATTTATTTATTTATTTTTTGAGATGGGGGTCTCACTTTGTCACTCAGGCTGGAGCACAGTGGTACAATCATAGCTCACCACAGCCTCGACATCCTGGGTTCAAGCGATCCTCCCAACTCAGCCTCCCGAGCACCTGGGACTGCAGCTGCACACCACCACACCTGGCTAATTTTTTTTTTTTTGTAGAGATGGGGTCTTGCTATGTTTCTCAGGCTGGTCATGAACTCCTGGCCTCAAGTGATCCTCCCACCTCAGCCCTCTAAAGTGCTGGGATTACAGGCATGAACCATCATACCTGGCAAATTTATTTTCTAAAAAAAAAAAAAAGTATTAGTTTATTTATTGGGATTTCTTCTTTTTATTTATTTCTGTGAAGTATTCTTTCCAATGTAAGATTTTCCTTCCGAACTATGGGTTGGGCTATAGAGCCATCAATCTTAATCCACCTTGAATTACAAATTACAAAAATGTGGACTAATTATTTAGACTGATTCAGTCAAATGAAAATGAATGCTCAAATATAACTTGTAGATACAAAAAGGTTCTAAAGATATTTGCCATGAATTTCAGACACTAGAGAATTCACTGGCAAGATAACTGGTTATTAAGACTTCAGGAGTCTCTGAATCATATGGGTTGAGAGAGACCACCATCAGTCTGTTTGTACAAGGGGGAGTAGTGCTCTATTCTGGGGTGATCCAGGACAGCTTTCTGGAATGATGGGGCTTGAACAGATGGATAGAATATGAGTTGTTGGTTAGGAGGGGGTGGTCAAACCAGAATATGGCAGAATAAGGCAAACAGCAATCAAACCAGGCTGTCTATGATGAGAGTTAAAGTCCTCGTAATGTGTACGCCAGAGAAGAGAGGCTAAGGAGAGTTGTCCTAGAGGCAATAGACATCCACAGCCATTCTGTAGGAAAGAAATAATAATTCATGGTCATGACAGAAAAGTAGACTTCCACAGGTTGGGAAATAGAAGAGATTCCTGAAGCAATCAGAGGTAGGCCTAGATGACCTCAAAACTTTCTTTAATTTTCAAATCCTGTAAATGAGATAGGATGCACATTTCAATATCAGTTATGCTTGTTATATTGAAAGCAAGATGAGTGTAAAAAACACCTTTCCAGAGCTGGTTGAAAGGAATAAGTCTGGCTGGGGGAAGTAGCAGTATTTTTTTTAAAGTAGACAGTGTCTTACCTTGGTATTCCCAGCACATAGGACAGTCCCTGATATGAAAAGGACATTTGATTGATGTCTGTGTAGTAAGTCTTTTACGTTGTGAAGAAGAAACATCCTTTTAGTTTTTCTTTGTGATTCCCTGGTGACTTTAGATAATCACTTAGCCTTCTTTTATCTATCTATCCACCTATTATCTTTAAAACCATTTTGGTAACCCTCAGAGTAGAGTTACACTTCCCTTTTGGTTTACCTTATTGTCTTCGCCTTTATTCTCTGTCTCCCTCACATTCTCATTCTCACAGGCACCTACTCTAATGGGCTCAACTTTTGTCTTTAGACATAGTCCTATTTCTAAAATAGAGAGTTACATGTTTTAATTTTCATAAATAGTATGAAGCCATAGATCTCATATTGTTTTTTGCCATAACACTCTTTGCATCTAGTTTATACAGTTCTTTGTGTTCTTCAGTACGCTAATTTCTAGTCGCAATGTAAATTTGGAAAGTTGTATTACATACATGATGTTCTACTTATATCCTTCTTAACTTGTCACTGCCTCCCCCTATTTCTTTATTCCTTCCTAATCTCTGATCTTATAGCGCACTCATTCTTTCTTCTGCTGTACTCCTTCTGCCATTCAGCCCTTCTGCCAAGTTCTTCACTTCAGCTATTACATTTTTCATGCCCAATTGCTGACATTGATTCTTCTTCACAAATGGTTTTCTGTTTTACCTATCTAATGTATTTCCTCATATCTTAAGACATGCTTTTTAACATATTAAATTTTTGGTCTGTCCAGTGCATTAATTCTGCTTCTTCTGTAATTCAGTGTTGCTTGTGGTCAACAGATGTTGTTTATCCCTGTGAGTTAATGTTCCATTGGGATATCAGTAACTTTAGTATGTTGGGGATATGAAAGCCAGTGCTCTAACTTACCCCTTCTGGGTGAGTTGGGGAGAGTACCCTAAGTGCAGATGACTTCTTTTGCTACAATTAGTATTCAGCCATTCCCATTTGTCCCCCAACACCCCCCCTCCACCACACAAACAAAAGAATATACCCCTTGGACGACCTCCCAGTGACTGGATTCTGGACCTTGCTTTTATCCATGACCTGTTTCTCTGGGTGGTATTCTACCCAGCTCACATGGTGGAGAGTTGGTACGGACACATGAAGAAACAGATCAGGTTGCCTGCCTCTCTAATATCAACTATCCATCTGATTAGATTTCCATGGGGTTCTGTTTTTTCTCTCTTACTGGTACTGGACTGAGGGTACTATTTTCTATCCAAAAAGGTACAAAGATGAGCAACGACCAGGGAGGTAAGGAGAGAAAGCATCACACCTAAAAAGTTCTCCCCTGACATATCTCCTGTCTATGGCATCCAACCTTATTGTATGTAGACAGCCATGTGCCCTGAGACTCAACTACCTTTTGTCTCCCACAGAAAAGTTCTGTGATCTACAAAACCTTACTTTCACTTTACAGAAAAAACAAGCTACATAATTTGTGGGGCCCAGTGCAAAATAAAATTACGGAAGGTTTTCTTAAAATATTATTGAGAAGTTCAGTATAGGGGCAGCATGGGCCCCTTTTAAACATAAGGCTCTGTGTGATTGCACAGGTCAGCTGGCCATGAAGTCAGTCCTATATATAGGGTTAGGATTTCTGGAAAGACCTGGCAGCCTTTGCTGAATATACATTTTCCTTAGCCACTTTATTAACCTCTTCTCACTTGAATTAGCAGGCTTCCTACAACAAACCAAAAGAAAAAAAAACATGCAGATTAGATTAGAGAAAATGGAATTATAATGACAAAATGATTATAGTTCTATATTCTTTGTCTTCCCTTACTCCAGAACAGAGTATGTTCTGTGAGCAATGCAATATCTAGAAGTTGACTATAATGCTATACTTGGTTGCATCTACATGGAGAAAAACAGGTGTAAACCCCTGCTATGACATTCACTACATAGTGAATGACATACCTTGGGTACATTACATACCTGTGAGCCCCACTTTCCTTACCTGTAAGCCTTGAAAATTCAATTAGAAAATTTTTATGACAATAATAGTGGGAGACTTCAGCACTCTACTGACAGTATTAG